GTACAGTGATGAGTCCAACCAGGAAGTTTTTTTATGATATTTGAAACAGAAGATGTCAGATTGGATCTAATTTTTGAATAAACGTATAATTTCTGTTTCAACTTAGTGGTTAAGACTTGTACATGATCACGATAATTCAAATGAGAATCCAACGTAATTCCAAGATATTTGTAGGTAGTGACAATATCAAGGGGTTTGTTTAAAGAAGTGAGTTGATTTGTTATTCTGAAATGTCTCCTGGGTGAGGAAAAATACATGCACACAGTTTTTTTTAACATTAACTGACAAAAGATCATCTTGAAGCCAACCATGAAATGTCTGAAGATCTGCTTGTAACTGACTATTAATAGATTCAATATTGAAATCAGACAAAAAAAGAACAGTATCATCAGCATACATTAAAATATTTGAATACTTCAATATTTTTGGAAGGTCATTGGTTAGGGTTGTATTGAACCTAAAGCACTGTTCGATACGGGTACATGTATTGTTGCACCCTTAGTATTTATGTTTACGATGCTCAATCATTACATTAGTGTCTGTCATTACCGAGTCTACATGATAATTTCTGAATTATTATGCAGTCTAACTAGTCAAGAATCCAATAAAGTCCATATTTTACATGTTTAATATCAGTAAATAATATATTTGACAACAGATAAAATTGATTTTAAATAAGGTTAAACATGAACATTGAAGCTTTTTAATGTTAGTGTACAGGTTTTACTGTTAAAATAATTAATTTTGGTTAAATATGTGTAATATTTACCAACCCTTTTAGCTCTTGTAAACATGTAACAATTTCTGTAGTTTATAGAATATTATTTGAACCATTTATACATTTATAAAGAGTTTGTTTGCATCTCGCTACGTTCTGCTCATTGATTTCAAAGGTTAATGTTAGCATTAGCATTAGCTAAATGCATAAAAATCCCCCTTGTGAAGCACGTCCAGGTCACRTGACGCCCAGTCCGGTAATATATATGAACGGTCACTGCTTCACTTCCTGTCCAGACGTGACTGTACCTGCGTGCGTCCTGAGGGGCGTGGACAGGTAGGTGTCTGAGAAGAGCGGCTCTGGGACCTCCCTGTGCTCCTCCAGCAGTCTGGTGAACGCTCTGAYGCTCAGCCTGCAGACACCAAGCTGCTTAATGTCCTTTAACCTTCATTAAACCTGTCGGGTTCTGCTGCTCACCTGTAGGACGTTCTGGCTTTCAGTGGTCCGTCACAGAAGCCGCCGTAGCTGTCCCTCTGGTAGAGGTCGTCRTCGTGGTAACGGTCGCAGGCCCCGCCCAGTCGCTCTCCTCCGGCGCCCAGGTTCACCTCCACCACCTGATCAAACGGCGTCCATCAGAGCCTTTACTGCGACTAAAGCTTCTGTACATCATTTTAATGAACCAGAGAGTTCCCCTCTGATGTCACTTCCTGTTTCATCCAGCTGAGTCCCTTTCAAAGTAAAATGTTACCATGGTGTCCAGGAGCTCCAGGTAACCTCTGCTGTTTTCACTTCTTTATGTTACTTGATAAAACCGGTGTTTGAGGTGTTACCTGTCCGGCGGCGCTGTCGGCGTCCTGCGGACAGCGACTTGGAAAGTACGCCGTCTGATAGGCTCTGACGGAGGCGTTGGCCATGTAGTCGCGGTACGACGGCAGCGGGTGGCGCTGCTCCGGCTGCAGGACCTCGCTGGCTGTTGGAGGGGAACAAACGGCCTCGTAAACACTTCCTGGATTAAAAACACCACCGTTAGCGGTTCTGCCTCACCGTCGGACTCGGCCACGATCACAGCGAAGTATCGCACTGCGCCGTTGGCGTCGCTGAACCAGGAGCAGTTGAAGCGGAACAAGATGGAGGACGACGTCATTTTGGACATTTTCTCGTTGACACGAACGCTGGGGGGCGGGACTGGAGGACCTGCGAGGAAATACACTGGTTTAACAGCTGTCAATCAAACCATTGTTTAGTCCTGTTGTCGTTTCAGAATAGAATAGAAAAGAAATAGAATAGAAATAGTCTTTATTGTCCCATCGAGGGGAATTTCAAGTGTCACAGCAGCATCAGTGCAGAGGTTCACACACTAGTTACTTTATAACAGAGGTCTATAAAGTACTTGAAAAAAATAAGCAAAAGTAAAGTACCCAGAAAATGATGTTGGTAAAAATAAATATCACTGATGATAAAACTACTTATGTTAAGTATCTTAAGTATCATTTTTAGGTTTTAAAAGTAACTAAGTAAAAGTAAAAATCACCATTTAAAAAAATACTTGGTAAAATTACAGATCCTCAAAAAATTACTTAAGTATTGTAACGTAAAGTAAATGTAATAGTTACTATACACCTCTGCTTTACAAACTATGGATGTTGCAGAAAAAATGAAATTAACACTAACTGGCAATTTTAACTTAAATGTTTAAAATAAATGTGTCAAACTTTTTTATTGTTTCATTTTGAAGTGATTAAAACCTAAAACCCTGAGAGGAACTCCTTCTCTTTGCTCAGCAGCAGAAACCTGCTCTGATCCTCCAGACGGGTTCAAAGTATTTTTGTTTCTTCGGCTGCTGTCAGGATGATTTATGCTCTAATGAAGGCGGAGCAGCGAGACGAGCGCCGAGCGAGGACAGAAAGAAACAGGGTGAAAAATAAAGTGACGTTAAAGATGGAGAGTCTTATTGCTTTGTCTCTGCAGAAGTTTAAACTCAACCCAGTTAGAAAGTTCAGGAMCGACCAGATCCAGAACCTTACAGAGGACTCTGGTTCTGTCCAGGACATGAAAACATATCGGATATGAAGACATGTTGGACAAGAGAACATGTTGGACATGAGGACATGTTGGACATGAGGACATGTTGGACATGAAGACCTGAAGACATATTGGACATGAGAACATGTTGGACCTGAAGACATGTTGGACAAGAAGACATGTTGGACATGAAGATATGTTGGACAGGAGGACATGTTGGACATGAAGACATGAAGACATGTTGGACACGTTGGACATGAGGACACATTGGACATGAGGACACATTGGACATGAAGACATGTTGGACATGAAGACATATTGGACATAAGGACAAGTTGGACATGAGGACAAGTTGGACATGAAGACACATTGGACATGAGGACATGTTAGACAGACATGTTGGACATAAGGACATGTTTGACATGAGGACACGTTGGACATGAAGACATGTTGGACATGAAGACATATTGACATGAGGACATGTTGGACATAGACATGTTGGACATGAGGACATGTTGGACATGAGGACATGTTAGACATAGACATGTTGGACATGAGGACATGTTGGACACGAGGACATGTTGGACACAAGGACATGTTGGACATGAAGACACATTGGACATGAGGACA